TGATAGTCCAACAAAAATTTGATTTTTGACCGCCAAATGGTATTTTTTAAACATTTTTTTCTGTATCTTGGAAACCCTGGACCTGTTTTTGCAAAAATTCAATCAAGTTTTCATTACATCAATACAATTGGAATCATTCAAATCGGATGCTCCGTTCTCTCAGAATCTTATATACCATTTTTGCACTCTTTGCTTCATATATTGAAAATGTGTCAAAAAGCTTAAGTATTTTATTTTTAATTTTAAACATTGATAGCTTAATTATAATTATTTAATTAATGGGATGCAGTTTTGATCATTATCTTATTGAACAACAAAATAACAAACAGTAAAATAATTCATAATGTAATATATTTTCAAACATAAAAGAAAATTATAAACTCTTACAGTATCATAAATCTTGCTTTGAGAAGTACCTTTATATAATTATTACAAATAAGGTGAATACAATTTCTGTTTGAAATACATACTTCTCATTATTGAAAATCTTTGTCAGTAGTATTCATTATCAGAGTTCCCGTAGGGTAAAGTTATAGAAATCACAAAAAATGTCTTCATGTTTTAGAGGTTTCTGAATATTTTGGCATACCTTATAAAAAATGGATGTATGTTTGTGTGGGTGTATGTATGAAAGTTTGGATACGATTTTTCGTCCACGCTGGATCAACTTTTGCCAAAAACTAATTGACGTAATAAAGAATTAATTAGACTTTTAAAAATGTGAAGCGGTTTCAGAGACCCAGGGAATATTTTATTACTGTACGGGAAGTTCCAGCAATTTGCCTTAAGGTCCGATGCCATACACCACTAGTTCTTTCAATGGTATGCCAAAATGTTCAGAAACCTTAGAAGCGTAAAGATATGCAAAAATTTTCATTTTCGCCTTTTGGACGATTACTATAACTCATCCTACAGAAAGGTAATAAAGTAGGTAAAAAAACGTATGTGAACTATTAATTGTATTACAAAAATGGTGATAACATGAGTCATATTTTTAAAATTAGTTTTGCATTCCATAAATTCAATATTAAAAATTGGTTACAATTTTCAACAATCTGCATATAAATTCCCGATTATTATCAAATACAACAATTTGTATCTACTTTAAACATAATTGTGATTTACTCACATTAATTAATATTTACCATAAAATTTAAATCTTGTTTCATACAATGGTGTGTAAAATTGAAGTCTATAAACTGGAGTGGCATGTATACTGTTTAACATTCATTCATAATCTTTTCAGTAATTTTTTTGTAAAAATGCTCAAAATATGGTATATTTTTATTAAAACTGCTAAACGATAATACGCATACAGTATGCCCGAGTGTGCCCAAATTCCCAAATGTTTGTAATAAATAAATCATACCGATTAATAAAATAATTCATGAATATCATTTCATTTATTGCTTATTTCGTCAATTTGTCTGCAAGAATCTGAATAACATCACAGAACGTCGAACAAAAAGATCTAAAGTATATCTAATATTCTATTAATATTATATTAAATATAGAAGAATGGTGTGTTAATTAAAATCATTTATAGCAGTCACAAAATTGTTCTCGCATACAACATTTCATGTTAAATTCCTGGCAGTGAATTTCATTACGAATTATTTCTTTAAGACCACACCTAGATTAAAACATGCAACTTCATAAAATCTCGTGAGTTGTTCCAATGTCATTTGCACTTTCATCTATTACACAAATACGTGCGAGCTGCGAGCATATAGCCATCATATAGAGAGGAACGTGATACAAATTGAAACTTTAAATTAGTTCGTTAAAATAGTTGAAAACATCAATGTCATTAATAGATATTATATTAATGTCATTAATCGAAATATTAATAAAAATCATTTCATATCTAGATAAAATTAATATATAAACTTTTGGATGAAGTATCAAAACTAGTGGTGCATCGTTCCTTAAGGAAAATTATTCAAGAAGTATTAAATGTTCCCAAATATAATAAATTATTTAATGCTTGGAATAATAATTTCGAAATTAAAACTTTGTTTTTAATTTTGGGAAGCAAACTTTTTGCCTTCCTAAACTAATCGTTTCTTCACAAGCAAAATGTTAATTGAATTATTTGAATGAGAAGCTTCGTTTTCTCAAAAACTACAATCTTTTACACTTTTAGCTCCTTATCTCTGAAACACCTAGTTCTGTCTTTGCGAAAAACTAATCACCACGTCTCCTCATTATTACAATTTGAATGTTTTTTTATATCATTCAAATCGGATGCTCTGTTCAAAAACTCAAATTTCATATTTTGCGAGCACGGTTGATCCGTGCTCCCGAAAACGTGGATAAAAATAGTATCCATACATACGCACACACGCATGCATCCGTAGATCCATTTATTCTAAGGTATGCCAAAATCCAACACCCCCTGATAGCAAAAACAATGACATATTAAAGTATTGATAGTAGTGGTCATACAATTGTAGAAGATTCATACATTTTCAGCAGTAGCTACCAAAGCAAGATTTATTATACTAGTAAGAGTTGATAAATATTTTGGATCATTATGTTTGAAACTATATAAGATTATAAATCAATTTTGTTGCTCAAGGTAATGATTAAACTGCACCCCATTGATAAAATAATGAAGCTATTATTCCGCAATATCTCTTTGAAATTAAAAATAAAACTAAATAATTTTTCGTCCTATGAGGTAAAAAGAAGCAGATGACAAATTTTAGAAAATAGCAAGAAAGAACATATTTCTAGAATGTATAACTACCTGGAAATTTTTCTGAACAGAGTCAGATTTAGTTGTTTCCTCGATATGGGTTATTTCTTGTGCTGTAATTTAGTCACAATATTATTGCTCAAAGTCAAATTGGACTTTTGCACCCCGCGCAGCCCTATGTATAATTAATTTTAATTTAATATGTTCATAAGACAAGACTTAAATTCGCCGTATTTAATGAAAATGAATTGCATATATTTGCACTGATCAGGGAAACAATATTCTCGAAACGTTTGCAACTTTAGTATCATTTATTAATTGTGCAAAGAAAAGTGTATTGGTGATCTGATCATATTTTCGAAAATAATAATATATAACTGAACTTTTCATTAGTTATAAAAACTATAGGTTTTGCGTCACTTTTTTGTACTTCAATCATTAAACAACAACAATTTTTATAAAAGTTGGGGTCCTAGGTTAATTTATTGACCACGTGTTTAAAAATTTTTGAAATGAAAATTATATTTGCTTGTTCTTGAAATTTAATAACATAAGCTAATAATAATTGTATAGGGTCTGTATAGTACAACTTTTTTTAAGTGAATGTATAGTTAAAATTATATCCTTAATAAAAATATATACTAATATAAAACATTCAAAGTTTATTTGAGAGATTTCATCTGCATTTTTGTGGATTTTGGAAGTACTATTGCAAATAAAAAATCATTTCAATAATATACGAATGAGAGGATTATAAAATTTTTACAAACGATTTTATAGATAAAATTATTAAAAAATGAAATTTGCACTGAAATCTATCAAAAGTATTTTGAATTATTAAATTTGCTCATTTATATTTTACATTTCTTTTATATAATTTATACATCGATCAGAACTGAATGTTTATAGAAGCTATCATGATGATGATGATTTCTTTTAAATACACCATTTTTACGAAGGCATCCCAAAGATTGGCCTCTCTATTTGGTGAATTTATTATTACAATTTCTGTAATACTGATGAATATTTTATTGATGCATTAATGCCTTTTCTGCATTAATGGGCTATTTTCACTTGGAATTAATGGTTAAATTATTGCAATTATAAATTGTTATGAGAAAATGTTTTTGAATGCGAGGATTGATGTTATTTTGAAATACTTTTATTTGCAATAAACTGCTAAAATAACACAATTGTGAATTATATTGCAGAAACTTTTGTTGCCATTAAATATTATTATGCACCGATAATGCATGTAAAAGATAAAACAATAATATTGGCGTAGTTATTTTAAAATTATTATTCAAACAGACTAATCTTTTCTCTACTTTCAACGAAAATGTGTAATTAAAATTATATCATTATTAATATAAATGCAAGTAAACTTCCACTGATAGACAAGACCGGGCTGTGAAACACCTGTAGCTTAATGAGTATGTTTTTAGTTGTAGCACTCGTTTTTTTTTCAATTTTGTGCACCCCTTAATTCTTATAGAAATTTAATATCAAATAGTAAACATATGTTAAGATATAATTTAATTATAAGGTATGCAATAATGCGCAATATTACGTAAAAATTAAATAATAATAAAAATAATAATAGGCAGTACTGCCCTAGAACTGGTCCGTGAGCTGACTAAACTCCAATTCTATTCAGGGAAGAAAAGTGTGAAAGGTTTCTCATTACCATTTCACACCGCAGTGCCCGAGATGGGGTAATTTTCAAATGAAAACAAATTTTTAATCTATATTAATTGTGAAAATTGAAATCGCCCCTGCACGATGTCAACTTTCAGTGCGCGGTGTCGAATTCGCTACCTTGTCTACACAAAGTCAATGCATTAACGAGCTACGCCACGACAAAATTTTATGTTAAAATTTTCATACAAATAATTTTTTATTGTATCGATCCAATGATGATCAAATAAATATAATTTAAAAAAAGAAAAAAAAAGTTATTCATTCTATTTTAGCTAAATAGTATCACGGAAATAGCTGTACGCGTCCCTTGCAATGGCTTCGCGCCCCCATGAAAAGGAGCGCCCCACAGGTGGGAAACCACAGGCTAAAATGAATGTATTGCAATAAAAGCAATAACACCGTCATAATTTATATAGTTTTTCCAATATAAACAACATTTTACGTATCATATTGTGAAGTTAATATTTAATATATGACAACATCGTGTAAATTTTAGAAAGAAATTTTGCAACCTTCATATCGGAGCTGTCAAATTCCATCAAATACAACATACAAAATTTTGAACGATTTTTCAATAAATAATTATAAAATGACTCACCTTCATTTCAACTAATCTAGAATATCCAGCAGCCTTCACTTCCATTGTGCAGTATTGTTTATAATCTTAAATATTCAATAACAAAGAGTTTTTATCGGGTTACGCTTATGCAAATATGCCGGCTAAATTATGAATCACAACCATTCGAGATAAAACTTTGATGATAACACAACTACTAAAACACTTTACACACAATAAACTTTTTACTGAATCATAAAATAATTCACATTTGGCACATTTTAATCTTGTTCACTATCAATACCGAAACCCAACTAAATTCGAGCCGTTTCGTTCAAATTTTCGAATAATACTGAATCGTGTTCGTGTGGCCTGCGCAATGGCGTCGATTCGGTCGCTTTCGTGTTTATGTCGGCGTCCCTCTCACTCTCTCTCGCTCTCGCAAATGACGTTTTCGCACGTATGACAATACTAGACTCTCAAACTATAATATTAATGTTGTATATTATTAAATTAATTAGTGCGAAATCATTTGCGAGAGCAAAATTATTATTTTTAATATAAATTTACAGCCAGCATTACGGCTTAAGACAAATGGCATTATCTTGCTAGAAAATCCGACTTGGTAACTTTCCGAAATAAAAGTTTTCATCAAAAAATCCGATTTGCTAATTTTATGTCTTCTCAACGATTCAAGCCATTCTGAATCGAATATGTGTGTTTGAATAATTTTTTTGCCGTAAATCAACACTTTCTCAAAAATGAATGAACCGATTTCAAGAATTTAAAAGCCACTCGATGCACCTCGATGAGGATTATTATTATTATTATTATCATTATTTTTTTTTTTTTTTGGTTTGCCAGTTTTGTGCGACGATCGGCCAAGCCGTTTCTTCATAAGTAGCAGAGGAGTGAACAATTTTTCGTCCAGGTTTTAGCCCGCAACTCTGAATCGATTTTGAAAATTCAAAAACTGTTCAATAGATATTGGTTGGGAATCGTGCTGATTGGCTTCTGGTAAAGATCAGCCAGACCGTTTTTTTCAGATTTTTATTATTTTTTTGACGGTAGATACCATAGTCTTATAGATCAAATATTACGGCCCTACGACAACTCGTTTAGCTTTAAAAATTCTTGTAAAAAAAGTTTGTAAAAATTAGTATAATTTTTTTGGCATTTGTCAAAATTAGATCTCTCATTGACGTTTGTTCAAAAACGTCTGAACCAGTTTCAGAAATTTAAAAGCCATTTGATGTATCTCGATGATGATTATCTTTCCTCAGTTTTGTGCGACGATCGGCCGAGCCGTTTCTTTGTAATTTGGCAAAAAGTGTTAAACTTTTCGTCCACATTTAAACTAATACTACCGAATTGATTTAAAAAAATCAAAAACTGTTCGAAAGATATTAGTTGGGAATGATATTGATTAGTTTTAGGTGAAAATCTACCGAGCCGTTTTCTTGTAATTAACTTTTGAAAAAAAAAATTAAGTCGATTGTTATGGAACTTTTTTATCATGGTATTATACAACTTACTGCAATATTAAGGCCTTACGACAAGTAATTTAATTTTAAAAATTCTTCAAAACTTGAAAAAATTAGTAGTTTTTTTGAAGTTTGTTAAAATTAAAATTAGACGATTTACTTGGTATAATGATATAGTGTTCGTCCGTTTTCAATTATGTAATAAATCCACTTGGAATACTTTTATAATCATTCAAAAATTATTTTTTTTATTAAGTCGATTATTTACATATATTGGGAAGTTCATTTAACTTGCCTCAAGGAAAAATACCAATACCAACTAGTTAATTTTATGTTTTGTCGACTATTTATGACTCATGTCATTCTGAATCTTTTGATATCAATATCAGAAAAATATTTGTTTGGACAAATGCGTGAGCCACTTCTTGACCCTGAAAATTGTTGCTTTAGGTCCAAGTTTAAAGTTATGAACCAAAAATTTAAAAACTGTTCGAATGATATTAGTTGAGAATCGTACAGATTAGTTTTCTGTAAAGATCCGAAATTAATTATTAATTTTTTTTAAGATTTTAAGGACTAACGAACATCCTTAAATATCATGGGAACGCGAAAATCGTTTAATGATAAAAAAGCATTAAAATGTGGAAAAAGTAAATTTGGAAATGCCAAAATTGTATCGTCACAATTCTAAAAGTTTAGAAGTGGATTATTCACACGTTTCGGGATGTTAATGTGACTTGCCTTGAGGCAAAATGCTACTTACATCTAGTAAAATATTTTTCTCGATTCATTACATTCATGAAATTACTTACCAAGCAATTGTATTACAATCTAATGTTATACTTTGCATAAAATTTATATATATTTATCAAATTCCATAGCAAAATCAAAATGTTTTTAAATATTGGTATTTGCATTAATTCGCATTTTTCAAATATGTTTAATTACCAAATTATTAAAATAATCTAATGATATGTATTCCAAAATTAGAGAAGCGTTGCAACTTCAATTTTTCAAATCAAATCCTCAAATCCAAAAAATGACTACGATGGGAAATCGGTTTATATATATTTGACTTTCAATATTGAATGTTATTTTGTTTCACATTTTACAAAGTTTTAGTTATATTCCTACATTTTACAGGAATTAAAGCAACATAACTAGTAACATTATGCACATAAAAGACTATATCAACTATCTTGGTAAGATATAACAAACGGAACTCATCATGTAATAGCAATTTCCAGGTAAATTAACTGGTGATGGGTGCTATTGACTATTAATGAAGCCTCAGTCTCATTTAACCATTAATGAAGCCTCATATTAGTTAAGCCTCTGGCAACACACTTTACTGCCATTTATATATTAATATAATATTTTTAAATTAGTCTACAAAGACAAGCGATATATACAATATGAAGCATTTCTTCTTCACCTTATAAAAATAGAGTTTTAACTTAAAACTTTTAAGTACATATTACTTTTGAAGTAATTAATTTTCTCATATATAAAATTCATTTACGGCCATAAAGTGCAAAAAACAACACTAAAATTTATTGCATGAGTATCAGAAATGACATCATGCCACTATTAGTTTGAAGCTTACATCATCAGCATGTAAAATTTCAAGTTTCTGATAAATATTTTTTTCTGAAACAATAACAGATATTTAGTAGAGTTCAAATAGGTCAGTAGGAACTTTTTTTTAACGAATTAGATGTAACAACTTTCTTGCCATGCTATTGGAATATTCAGTTAGCCTGTACCTATAAATATGGTTATAACCAAGTACCATATTTCTGATGGAGGCTAATTTAAATAAACATGAAATTGTTATTGCAAATTCCTGTCTAATTTCGCCTTCAGCATACTAATGAAATTTTGCACATACGATTGTGCAAGTTTTAAGGAGTGTTTAAAAATGGTTAGGGTTGCCAAACCGCTTGTCAAATTTAGTCGATTGGTATCTAAATCACAATTACCGTCGTCGCTGTCAATGCAATTTTGTTCATCAGCCCCCTCGGACAACTCCAAATCCGGTATTGCGAGAGAAGTAATAAACTTTTGCGAAATGACCGCGTGGGCTATTCAGCACGCAAGATATAGTAGACACTTAGACAGGCAATCGGTCGAAAAATAATATCTGGTTCGACTTTTTAGTACAATTTTTGAAGGACCCATTTTACTTCCAGTAATTATACAGTATAAAACAAATCATCTACATCACAACACATAACACGTATCAAACAAACAATTACCAAACTATGTTTAGTGAAATTCCCAGTTAATTCCTAAATTTTTGCACTATTTTTCTAAAATGTATGATCTTTCCCTTTGCCCCGTAGGTGAACTAAAGAGACAGGCAGAAGTAAACAGATCCAATGTCTTATTCTATTTTTTTAAGGAATTATGCGAAATAATAATTCTATTATTTGTGCGAAACACAAAGTTCATGGATACATTTTTTTACAAAGGCCATATTGTATATAACCTACCATGTCAAGGTTATATACAATAGAATTGACAGAAATTAATATTCATCAAAAGAGTCGGAATAAACTATTTATTTAATTTGTGAAATTGCCTTTTTTGATTTAATTTTTTTTATCCACTATTTTTTTATTGTTTACACCTTCGCCAGAGGTTTAGTTAGGTCCTTTATACCTCAGCCTAAGTATATATATAAGCTATAAGCTTTCATAGTTGTAATTTTAATATAGAAAAAAACTCTTGAATCTAACTTAAAAATGTTTTGTTCTTTTTATTATAAATCAAACAAATATCGTGTCCTTAAAAATTATATTCAGATATACAAAACTAAATTAAAAGAACTCAACACCAAGAGAATCACCAACGAAAAAATACTTTTATTATAAATATTGATTGAGAATTGAGAAGGTGGCTGGTTACATATCTTTTACCTTTTACTTTAAAATTATGGTTAAAAACTTATATACTTAACTTGTTTTTGAGATATCAGTGGTGGTCCTTTTTACTCGCAGACCTTTAAGCCCCGATATACACGCTAATCATTATATAGTAAACTATACAGTATTTTCCGAAGGAGAAGTTTGTTTTTGTGAGAAAATCCGATTTTCTAATTTCTTCTAGATGTTTTAACTCATTCGGAATCGTTTTACTCCGAAACTAGTTTAATGTGTGTATATAAGTTAAAATGTGCCACTTTCCCGATTTCAAAAATTTTAAAGCCATTTCGTGAAAATCGTTTGACGATTTTTGTGAAACTTTGTATGATCATAGAGTTCATGATTCTTAAATACTAGGCCTACGGCAAGTGGTTTTACTACAAAAATTCAATAAAGTTTGAATGGGCTGCGCAGTATAATATTTAAACTGTTTGTCGAAAATAACATATTTAGTCAATCTGTACAAAATTGAATAATCTCCAAAAATTTTTCATATTATTATTTGCCCTACGCAGTTGGCAGGTATACTTATATATCACCCACAAAATAATATTGATTTCTTATTTATTAGGACGATTATTTATATATTTCGAAAAGTGGAACACGCCATAAAGCATAAAGCCACCTACACCTGGTTAATTTTCGGATATATAATATAAATGCAATACTTTATTAGTATGAATTTAGTTATATTTAAATTTCCGAAGCAATGTTTTGTTTTTACTATGAAATCCCATTCCTATAGTTTCATACTTTTGATATAAGCTTATGTATTCATTGTAAATTCTGAATTTTATCAAAACATCTTCACTGATTTCAAAAATGAAAAGTCGTTTGCTAAATATACTAAATTTTGTCTCGTATTCATTAAATTTTCACTATGACCAGTAAAGCCTTTTCTTTGTAACTAACAGTTAGTTGAAAACCTTTTATAGTTTTTGAAATGCAAAATTCGT